CTTTAATCAAGTTGTCTGCTATTCCCCAACATCCTATGCAAATAGCTTTGCTTTCTACTGTAATGCTATAAAGAAAAGAAAGATTCACCTAGTGGCTTGGGATAAGGTTTGTCGAAATAAGGATAATGGTGGTTTGGGTATTAAATCTCTCACCACTCAAAATCAGGCCTTCTTGATAAAGAAAGGGTGGGAGCTTATCCATAAAAAAGACTCTCTTTGTACTAGAGTTGCACATACCAAATACAAATGTGGGATGATTTATTACTAAAAATGGAAAGGAAAATACCTGGGTCCAGAATTTGGAGTAATATTAAGAACACTTAGGATTTATTTCGAATGGGGCTTCAACAATTTACTCTTCCTAATGGGCAAATCTCTGTCCATTGGAGATTGAAAAAGAATGGGTGCTTTACTATCAAGTTAGCTTTTGAGTTATGTCATGATGATGATAGTACTTTCTTCACAAGTACATAAAAAGCTGTGGAAATTGAAGATTCCTTTTCAGTGTAAGTCTTTTTTATGATTGGCTGTACAGGATAGATTATTGACTAAGGAAGGGCGAAGAAATTGAGGTATATATGTTGATACTAAGTGCTCTAGATGTGACCATGATTGTGAAGATATTTTACATGTTTTTGAGACTGTGCCTTCTCAAAAGAAATCTGGCTTAGGAATGTTTGACCTGAACATCTTGAGAAATTCTTTGCCCATAATGCATTGAATTAGTTCAAATGGAATCTGAGCTCTAATATGGGCAAAAATGGTGATAACTGGACTGAATGGTTCTCTATTGTTTGTTGGCTTTTGTGGGAGCAACGTAATGAATTTGGTTTTCAAAGGAAGGATACAAATGTTGCCAACATCAGAGCACATGCTAGAGTTATTATTAGATGTATGAGCTTAAGTCACAATAAGCTTGGCATGCATAATCTTGGTAGGTAAGGATTATCTCAGAGCTCTCTTATAGTAAATTAGGATGCTGATAGCTTTAGTATCTTTGTTGATGGAGCATACTTGATAAGCATAGGATTAGTGGGGTATGGAGGTTTAGTTAAGGATGGGAATGATGATTTGATATGTGGATTTCTTGTCAAACTTCATGAAAGAGATGCGCTTTTTACTGAGTTATGGGCATGTATTATGAGCTTAAAGTTTGCATGGGATAAAGGAATTCAAGTTGATACTTTATTTTCTAATTGCTCTGATGCAATCAACCTTCTTTAGGGAGGTGATATAAACTTTCATGAATATACCTCCTTAATACAAGAAGCACGTGAGATGTTAAAAAGGGTTTGGAGGATAAGGGTTGCTCTTATTGCTAGAGTAAGTACTCATGAAGTAGATAGATGTGCAAAGAAAGTGCTGACTATTTCACTGGGATTCCATTATCTTCAAGCTAAAAACCTTTATAGGGATGTTCTTTTTGAGCCTCCATAATTTCCTGTTCTTCTTTTTTTTTTGTTTTGTGTTTTTGTTTTGTTTCTTCTTCCCTTTTATCAAAAAGGAAAGAAAAATCATTTACACTTGTCCATAGAAAAATCATTATATTCATATAAATATTTTAATAATCCTACATTATAATTTGTGAAGGATTAAAAAAAATACTTTAATACTAATAAAGTATAACAATATTAAAAAAATAATAAACTTAATTGACAAAGTATTTAAAACATACATCAAATAAGTCATCAAAAGTTATTGTTGTTGTTTTTGAGACACATGAAGTATGAGAAGTATGATGAGCTGTCATGGTTGAAGTTCTAGAACTTGATCCACCTCTAACGTTAATAGATGATACCTCCTTATTTTTTATTTATTTTTCGTACTTCAAATTTGAACAAAAGTTAATAGGGCATAAAAAGGATGGTCTTTTTATTTTTAAGGCCGAAAAAGGCCAATCTTTTTAAACTCAAAACTCATTTACACTCTCTAAATAAAAAAGCTACCGATTTCCAAGTTTAAAAGAGCAGTCCAGTAAGCTTATTGTAAAATAATGCTTTTAAAAAATGAAGATGGACTTGGGTGTGTTCAGTGTTCAATTTGCGGGAACAGATGGTCGTTTCCAAACATGAAATGACATTGGAATTTGATTGGATTTAAAAATTTATAAAAAAAAGGCCATTTGATAAGGGTATACATATGTTCCAAATTTTGCGTTGCGGGAATAATATCCTAATGACATGGAGATTTTTTTACCAATAAAATAAAGAATATTAAAAAAAGAAATAAAAAATAATTTGGTATGTTTCAAATCTTGACATCAAGTTTTAAAAACCACTGACTTTTCCCCAGAAATTTAGAGCGATGTATATATTGTTAATTAATATTACATGACTATATTCTTTACCGTTAATTCCATATTACTTTATTTTAATATATAGATGATAATAATTGTATTACTGTTTCATTATTTAGTAGTAAATATGTTTTATTTAGACATATAATGAATATTTATTTATGTAAAATTACTCCTTATTTTATTTTATGTAAGGAATAGTGAAACTTTTAGTCCTCCAAATTTGACTTAATAATTAATTTGTTACTCTGGTTTAATTTTTATCAACTTATTTCATTTCATTTTCTTAAATTATCATATGAGTCTTTTAAATTTTAAAATATAAATGAGCACTCGAAACAATATAGTGAATAAATTATATTAATAACTTAGCATGATATGTATCTAAAGTCTAAACGATAATAAATTAACTTTTAAATCATTTTAATTTTAATCAATACATCTTTATACTGTGCTTTGTTCTCTGATTTTTTTTTTAAATTTCAGAGTCTATTGTTTTAACAAAATAATTATATTTATTTTCATTAATTTACATAGTGTTATCTATGTTTGTAAATTTTAAAGAGTCTCATATCTTTTCTAAATAAGAAGAACCAAATTGATAATCAATATAAATTTAAGAGACTAAATTAATTAAAATTAAATTTTAAAGATCAAATTGCTATTTAAAATAAACTTTAGAAATTAAAAGTTTCATTTTATTTTTACTGAAAAACACAAAGCCATATGGAATCCATGGCATGTTATTCAAGAAAAGATAATGATAAGTCATAGCAAAAACCTTAAAACTGGCTAGCCCAAAAATAAATCGAAATGTGTTTGGGGCAAAATCAATAAAAAGTTTAGGCCTGGTTTGGTTATCAGCCCGCTAAAAGTGTATCTTCTGGGATATAATCATAAAAACCCGGCCTTCGTAACATGTAAACCTGGTTTACTCTAAATTTTTTAGGTACCTTTCTGACCGATAATTTTTAAATTAAATGATTAAATTACCTCTTATTTAGCGTGAAAAATAATGGATTCAATTCTTATTTAATTTTTATGATTTGTAAAATAAAAATTATGATTATATATAATTTATTACAGAATAACATTTTTTAGGTACCTTTTCTGACATTGATAAATATCATATAATTTATTAATCTTATACATAAAAATTATATGATAAATCATATAATTTATTATACTTGATAAATCATATGATAAGAGAGACCCGACTATCATCATTTTCGTTACCTGACAAACTTAAATTTTTATATAAATTACATGTTCATTTAAAAAGTGATAATAGACAATTAACAAGTATTGTTGAGAAATTAACAAGTAAAGTTACACAATTAACAAATAATTTAGTTGCTTTTTGGGAATAATGGTTAAACAAGTTTTGTTATGATATTAACAAGTCAAGTTGTGCAATTAATAAGTATTGTTGCATAATTAATAAGTAAAGTTACATGATTAACAAGTAATACATTTTAGTTAAAGGAGTCATGAATTTGACAAGTAAATTCAAGTAATTAATAAGTCTTGTTAAAATATTAATAAGTACAATTACATTATTAACAAGTAAGGCAGTTATGTTGTGGGAGTCGTGAATTTAATAAGAAAAGTTAAGTAATTGACAAGTCCTATTAAGACATTAACAAGTATAGTTACGTGATTAATAAGTAATGTAATTTTGCTACAGGAGTCATGGGGTTAATAAAAAAGTTAAATAATTAACAAGTATTGTTAAGGTATTAACAAGTAAAGTTATGTTATTAATAAGTAACAAAATAATTAAATGATTTGAAAACAAGATTTATTATATATATAATTTTATGTGTTATATTTTTGAATGGGTTCAATGGCTTAATGATTCATAACTTTTTAATGAGCTAATGATTCATGGGTTTTACACCTACCTTGGCCTCCTTTAGAGAATTAATTCTCCAACCACCGTTGGTGGTGATCCAACTGGTGGTCAGAGGATTAGCAATTGAGGTTCAGTGGTTACTGTCATTGGTGAGGCTTCGGTTACCGGCGGTGGTGTTTCAACGACAGTGGTTGGCGATTTTTTAAATATTTGAACAAAGAGTATTTTTGTCTTTTTTGCTTTTTGAATTGAAGTTTCAAATTTTTTGAAGAAAAAATTATGTGTTTTTTCAGATCCTTAACTGAAATTCTCCCAAATAAATTTATTTTTATAAAATCTCTAAATTACTTAAAAATTACTTTTTTTTTATCTCGGACAAATGAATCCTAAAAAACATTGCCTCATATGTATGAGTATAACAGTAAAAGTATAGAGTTGAGTTTTCTTCAATGCTTCTCTAGTGAAGAAGGGATGATATTGAATTCAAATAAATTATTTTTAGTCAAAAAACAATGTAAATTAATTTATAATGTTTTAAAAAAACTTAACCCATCTAATGCAAATCACAGGTAAACCTTAAATTAAAATAATGTCCTCACAATTAAATGGGTAGAGTATAATAGAACTTTAAATCTCTTAAATATCATTCTACAATTTAATTGTTGTAAATATTTATGGCTCTAAGATTTTTTGAAGAATTACTCTCGTAGCTTCTAGCTGTGAGATACCTTGACAAATGATAAAAAAAATACAAAATAATATTTTTTTTAATTGTAACAATAATCTTAAACAATAAATTAATTAAAATAATAAATATATTTTGAATTTTGACTCCGACTCTCTCTTCCCCATTGCGAAGTCCACCCTCCACTACTCAACTTCTCAATCTCGTTGTTACTCTGCAAATCCAAAATGTCCATAGCCATAGTAGACCACGCCCTTCCCTACGATTCTCACAATCTCTACGATGTTACATTCTACACTCACAACATTCACACATTGCTCACTTCTTCCCCTTCGATGGTCGATTCCTGGCTCTCCGAGACCCATAACCTCCATTCCCTCCCTCAACCTCTTATCGTCGGCCTCGACGTTGAATGGCGCCCAAATTTCCAGCGCAATATGCAGAATCCGGTTGCCATATTACAACTCTGTGTCGGCCCTCGATGCCTCATATTCCAAATCCTCCACGCTCCAAACATCCCCCAATCTCTGATCAGTTTTCTCGGAAACGCGAATCACAAGTTTGTGGGCGTTGGGATTGAAGAGGATGTGGAGAAACTTGTGTGTGACTACGACTTAAGTGTGGCTACGTACGTTGATCTGCGCGATCTGGCGGCTGACAAGTTGGGGGACAAGGATTTGAAGAAATCGGGACTCAAGACTTTGGCCCTGCGTGTTCTTGAGAAGGAAATTGAGAAGCCAAAGAGTATTAGCAGAAGCAGATGGGACAATCCGTGGCTTAATTCTGAGCAGGTAAAGTATGCTTGCATCGATGCCTTTATTTCTTTTGAAGTTGGAAGGCTTTTGTATTCTGGCGAACTCTAGCCATGTGGATTGCTTGTGATTCAGAATTTGGGACCAATACTTGATTGATTTGAGTAGTGGCACCGCTCATGCATAAGTCAATTTTAGAGCGATGTGTGTTTCTGTTTTATGTAAATTTCATTGAGTGAGCTTGTATTTGATGAAACTTTTTTCTGTTTTTCATGTCTGAGTTGTTCTATCTACGTTGTATGAAGTGACGTTACCAATGTCATCTCTTGGTGTGTTGTACAACTTGACTATTTGATGATGAATGGTTTAATTGATTGACTCTGTTGTGTTGGGAAGCCACACTGATGAAGTATAGTTTATAAGTTTGAATTTCCTTCCCTACAACGCATCTTTTGAAAGTGAGTTCTACCTAAAGGGTTTGTAGTCGTAACATTGGTGCTCTCATTGAGAAGTACTGTTCATGGACGGATGCCGGCTTTTGAAGGATGAGCTATTTTATGAGTTCTATATTGAGAGGCTATATTGGTGGTGTGTGGATTATAAGTCAGTTGAGCACTGTAATGTTACGACCATAAACCTTCTAATTAAAACTCACCCCCAAAAGGTGTCTTATAGGGAGAGGGTGTCTGACTTATAATCCATACTCCACCAATATAACCTCTTAATGTAGAACTCATAACATTCTGAAAGAGTTCACAAACACAAATAATAATAGGATTGGAGGAGTCCATCTCATACCCAATCAAAGAAAGTAGGTAGAGGCAAATATTACGTGTACATATAAGCCATACCTTGTTTAGGTGCGACTTTGATTTCGATCATAATGTGATAATGTGATTTTTTTTGGTGAAAGATAATATGATGACTTTGTTAGTGATTAATTTGTAGATGCTCCATTATTGGAAGACAGTTAATAAAGTCAAAATTAAAAAACATATATATTATTAAATTTTCACAAATTTTGAGAGAACAGAGTGTAATCTCCCCAGTCCGTAATGATCATATTGTTAGCATAAAAGAATTCTGGCGAAACATTTTACTAAAATTAGTTGGAAGACAGGGATACCGCACTTGACTTGTGAAAGTTGTCAAATATGTTATTTACAGACATGAAAGCAGGTTTGTACCAAAAAAGAAAAAGACAGATTTAAAGATTTTTGTTTTTGTTTTTCACTCTAGCATTCAATTAATTGGAACTTGTTTTGTCTTGAGTGTATTCCTTTGTTCAAGTACAAATAGTTTTATTGGAGATTTTTTAAGAATTGATCTCTGGAATTGAAGGCCGGTCCCTATCTGGGTAAGAATAGACATTTGTCGTGGGCCTTGAAGCAATTCTTTCGCCTGGATAGCGCAATAGAGTCTGACCGTTTAACATTTCAAAGTCTTTTTCTTTCTATTGGCCATATACTCGCTCAGGTTATATGAGGAGCGCATCTAGTTGATTATGACAAAAGACATAGCATATTCTTAGCATGAGATATATTTTAACAAGAGCCACCTTCTCCTGGGATTTAATCAACTTTACAAAACAGAAAAGATTTTCTTAAAAATGTGCAAGGATAACGTCAGAGTGATCAAGATCATTTCAGAAAAAAATAATTTCAAATGAAGCACCAATATTTATTGTATCAAGAAAAGGGTAAACTAGTCTCGCTCACTCAAATGATGACGATTGCAAAATAGGAGGTTAACCTCTAGTAGTTTTGAATGGTTGCAGTAAAATATACTTTCTTTAATTTTATTTATAAATTATTTTAACATATTTTATTAAAATTAAGAAAAGCTTTAAATTTTATCAATCCTATTTTAAAATTTATTAGATTTCACCTTTTGCTTCTTTAGAAAAAATATATTTTCCAAACATTTAATGAAAGCAAAAAAAAAGTAAAAAAAATAAAAATAGTAAAGTGTTTTATAAATAAAATTCAAATTAATTTTTTTTTTATAAATAGGATCAAGACTATTATGGATTCATTGAGGTGGTGCTATTAAAACCAAGTGATTTGGAGTCAATAAGTAAATGATTAGCAGCTTCTCTAGGCTTCTCCAAAAGCCATTTCTTCATCTGCCTCTTCGGAATTTGGATTTCCTCTAATATTTAAATTTATACTATATTTAGATGTAGAGCTGGAAAATAAGGTGGACACAACCCTATAGGGCAGGGCCCAAAAAGCCCATGATTACATTAGGTCTTTGATTTTCAAACCTAGCCTAATAAGTTTTCCCCCCCCTTTTCAATTTAAATTTTAACACATAAAATTTTTAATTATAAATTTTTTTGAGCACAGCGACATGATGTTTTATTCACATTAGTGCGCATTGCAGTCCACAAAGAAACCAACTTCTTCAAACCTTGAAAGCATGTGGTCCAGCAAAAAGGGAAAAAGAAAAAGAAAAAGAAAAAGAAAAAGAAGAAGAAAAGAAAAGAAACTTGAAAGCAAATGCCAAGATTTTATTTTTAAAGAATGCTGATTACTGTAGGAGAAACATTTCACATAATTATTGCTAACAATTTTTTTTATATTAGAATAAAATTATAAAAAAATATGCTTCTATTGAAGTATAGAATGATTATTATGAGAAAGCTATTCCTAAAAATCTTAAAGAGTTGAAGTAATCAAGACCATATATTGTTACATTTTCGTGTTCTAATTTCGAACTTAGTTATAAGTATTGTTTAACAATAATAAGATATCATTAAATTCTTATATAAATATATATATATATATATATATATATGTATGTATATTTTTTTCTTTTTTATTTTTAATTCTAATTTATGATGAGTGAGAAGATGACTATAAATTCATAGATGCAAAAATTCATGTTAACAAATAAAAGGGGTAAAATAAAAAATAATTATAAATACTAAGTTGCTTATATTTCCAACCAAGATAACATGAGAAAATGCTTACTCTAATTAAGAAAAACTTTAAAATTTATTAACTCTATTTTCAAAGTTTCCACCTTAAGCCTCTAATAAAGATGAACATAACCAAAAAAAAAAAGTATAATGCCTTATAACTATGACTAAAATTAATCTTCTCTTTTTGCCCCTAATAAGACTAGTTCAAAATATAATTAAGCAACTTAGTTCATGTAATTTTTTTTCCATTTTACTCCTTATATTTGTTAACTTAGATCTTTGTATAAATGTATTTTTCACTCCTCATGGAGTGCATTGATAATTGGCACTAGGGATAAAAGGAAAAAACAACACATTATTTATTACTCTATTTATATAGGGACATATATAAAATTTTATACACTTTTAGATAGGAGTATATTTTTATAGGAATGATGACTTTGTTCATATGTGATTTTTTTTAAAAATTACTTATATTTGGATCTACAAGCTTCACCGATCTAAACTTAGGCTTTGACAATTGATTAGAGTCAATTAAATCTTATTTTCGGTTTTTCCTAGCAACATCAATTTTGAGTGGCTGGTAAATAGTGGCTACTGCTAACTATTTTTTATATATATATATATTTTGAAGAGTTTTATTGATCTTTTAGAGAGTCTAGTTATTTTTATTTATTTATCTTGTGTTTAGTATTTATTTTAGTGTTAGTTAGCTTTCTTGTAAATATTGTGTTTTGATTTTGTTTTAGAGTAATGTCTATTGTCAATTTGAGTCATTTTAAATTTTAAAAAAATTTACAAGAGTTTGGAAGAGGTGAAGAAGGAAATATAATGAATTTAATGAAGAAATTAAATTTTAATGATCACCCGCTACAGCAGCCAGTACAGCTAGTCTGTGTTACAAAGCAAATTCTAAACAGAAACAAAGCTCGTTGTAGTGGGTACTATAGCAGATTTCACACCAAAAACGTACAACATTAGTTTTTCAGATAGAAAAGCAAGAAAATGCAAGGGTTTTAAGTAGTTCAACTTTTGGGAAGTTCTTTGGACTGGAGGAGGTGATTTTGAAGGTTGGGCACTGACCTAGGAACTTGGAGGAAGATGGTTTATCCACATTTTAATTTGTGATTGCTTCTAGTTTAATTTTTTTTTTTTCTTTCTTCTCCAATGTTTTTGATTTTGTTCTTTCATTTTACTATTATGGGATTGAGTTTACTGTTGTATTGCTAAATTTTCTTTATAACCTAAGCAACTATGAATTTGTTTACATATTAGATATTATTTTCTCCAATGATTCTATGATTAATGTTAGTTTTGGATTACTTAATCTCATTTACTATACTTGCTTGATGATTGGCCACCATTGAGTTGAGAGGGGTTTAGGGTTTATCTTGAAAAGTAAAACCTTAAATGAACCTTGAGATTAGGTAATATGAGATTAGAATTTATTCTAATTTACTATTAGGATAAGAATATATGTCTTGAACTCATATATCATATAGATTGTTGAATTTTAAATGCCTCTTGGATAATTGTGTTAACACTTACATTCTTATTTAAGAGAGGGTTGTAATTGATTCAAAAGACAATAATTAGACTCTAGATTAATCAAACAAAATTACTCTTAGGTAATTTGGAAGAAATAGATTCTAAGAAGTAAACAAAGGCGTAGGAGCTTAGATAATCTCTTTTATGAAATTATTGTTTGGTGGAATTATTTGTTTTGAATCTTAATTGCTAATTTTTTTAGGTTTCAAACTCTCATGTGATTAATTCACTTGACTTAATTGGGTATTTAATGTTTATTTATCAATTTACTTAATTTTTTATGAGATCAACTTTAATTTATCATTCGTTACAATACTTGTGGTGTCTCTACTGTCTCCTGACTCCTTCAACACTGATTAGCGCAGTGGAACCAATTAGCCATCGCCATGGAAAGAAGGAGACAAAGAGGCAAACATGGGCAATCAATGCAAGAACTTTTTGACTTCTAAAAGAGTGCAGATTCAACGGCATTTACCAGCAACAAGGACGTTAACCCTAATTAAAAGTTGAATGATGATGAGGAGCCACAAAGCCTTCATAATATCACCAGTTTGAATGATCAAGAACCATCGCTAATAATATTAATATTAATAACCATCAGACACATAAAAGTGACTCTGTTTGTTCTCACAATATAAGTCATAATTAATAATTGATAATTATAATTTACAAATAATGTTAGTGAAACATTAAATTCTTAAAATTTTATTTTTTTTCGTTATACTTTCATTAAATATCTTAAATAAAAAGCTTGATGATAGAAATTAAAATTTCAATGCATTATCTAAGGTTCTATATTTTGAACTAGTAAGATTTGCCTTATATTATATTGTGATGTGATTTAGAGG